AGTCATCTTGGGCTCCAAAAACACAGTTTAAGCCCAGAAACGTCACTTTTCAACAATGCGCACTGCTTCTTTAATAAATCGCCAGAAAATAACTGCTTAGTAAAAAAATCCCAAATTTTGACACGAACAAGCCAAGAGACACACGAACGTCCTCCAATTTGAATCACTCCAAATTTCGTCCAATTGATCATGTTTTGCTCCAGAGAAAGTCGAATGTCCTACATTGAAAATATAAAATAAAGTATCAAAATTCTACCAAAATAATTACCAAATTATACTGAAAATAGGATAAAATATATAATATAATATTGACTCATCAAGCTTCAAAACAAAACACATAAAATATTTATTCAAGGAAAGTTCCTCAAAACTCTTTTTTTTGTCGAACACATTTAGAGGACGGTTTGAGGATAAAAACTTATTTATTAAATTATTATTACAGACCTATATATTAACGTTGCTAGTTCACTACCTTTTCGTTTATTGTCTTTATAGTTCAATTTTTGAAGTGTTTCTTCTTAACATTAGCAGTTATCATGAAGTAATAGTAATTATATATTTAACAAAAGAATCAAAGAAAATGAATTAATTGGGGAGTATAGTCTTATACCAAGTATTGGCCAGGGGAGTACAGTAGTTGTACCAAGTATTGGCCAACAGTACCTACCATTGAAATCAAGGAATGGTTTTGGTTTTGCGCCTGGTATATCGTATAATATAGTTGCAAATTAAAAAGTCCAATCTGGGACAATCAACATTATTTAATAAAGTAATTCGGCCTCCACTTGACCTTATGCATATATAAATACCCACACAAGGGGCCTTCATTTCTCACCACAATAAATTAAACACTTCAAACTGTTCTTTCAAAAAGCTTTAAGATTTCAATTTCATCAAGTTTTCATTGGATTCTAAGCAAGAATGTCTAATACTGCTCAGGTCATACGCTGCAGAGGTAAGGTTTTTTTTTTTTTTTTTTTTTTTTCCTGAGATTATTTATTAAGTGAGGGGTTTCTTATTTAATTTTTGGTTTATTAATTCCATTATTATTTCTGGTTTGTGTAGCTGCTGTAGCTTGGGAAGCAGGGAAGCCACTGGTGATCGAAGAAGTTGAGGTGGCACCACCACAAGCAAATGAAGTTCGCTTGAAGATCCTTTTTACCTCTTTTGTGCCACACTGATGTCTACTTCTGGGAAGCCAAGGTATGACATTATTCTTAGAAATTCGTCGAACTGAACATTTCTGAATTTCAATTATTTCATTGATTAAAATCAAATATTAGTGGCATAGCGCGATCAAATATCGCCGATATAACGAAAATTGATCATTTCTGTAATTTGGATTCGAAAAATGATCCATTGCTTTTCTTTTCACTCCTAAGCATATTTCAGTTCAATGATTATTCACATATTTAGAACACCAAATATAATATGGGTTTTCTATATTGCAGGGACAAAACCCTTTATTTCCTAGGATTTATGGTCATGAGGCAGGAGGGTATGTACATTTCTATCATCTTGTTACTGAATTAATAGAGCATGTAGGCAAACAAAGTACAATTGAATCATTGATCATGAATTAAAACTTATGTGGATTTCTGGTTGATACTTTTAGGATTGTGGAGAGTGTTGGTGAGGGTGTGACGGATCTGAAAGCTGGTGATCATGTGCTGCCGGTGTTCACAGGGGAATGCAAGGATTGCGCTCACTGCAAATCAGAACAGAGCAACATGTGTGACCTCCCTAGGATAAACACTGACAGGGGAGTGATGCTCAGTGATGGCAAATCAAGATTTTCAATCAAAGGCAAGCCTATCTACCACTTTGTTGGGACTTCCACCTTCAGTGAGTACACTGTTGTTCATGTTGGCTGCCTTGCCAAGATCAATCCCTCGGCACCTCTAGACAAAGTCTGTGTCCTCAGTTGTGGAATCTCCACAGGTAAATTGTTTATTACTATAGAGCCAAATTGTTCAACAGATACTAGTTGTGTAATTGATATCATTTTCTTATTTATTTTTTGAACACGTTTAGGTCTCGGAGCTACTCTAAATGTTGCAAAGCCGAAAAAGGGATCAACAGTCGCTGTTTTCGGATTGGGAACTGTAGGCCTTGCAGTGAGTCTCTTAGTCACCACTTGCTTGCTCACTTGTATATATGATGAAAAATGCGTGTCTAAGTCAATCCTTCTGTTTCTAGGCTGCCGAGGAGCCAGGTTGTCTGGTGCTTCAAGAATAATCGGTGTTGATTTGCATTCGAGCAGATTTGAAGAAGGTAACATACACAATTCCTATAATCTCTCAAAAAGGACAACGATGCATAGAGCTATGTTTTTCTTCAGCTCATGTATCATTTTTTTGCGTTTACAAATATTCTCGAGACTCTCAATTTTAACTTGGTTGTTTGCAGCGAAAAAGTTTGGTGTAACGGAATTTGTGAACCCAAAAGAGCACAAAAACCAGTTCAAGAGGTGATTGCTGAGCTGACGAATGGAGGAGTGGACAGAAGCATTGAATGTACAGGAAATGTTGAAGCCATGATATCAGCATTTGAATGTGTCCATGATGTAATACTATAGCTTCTTCACTGCCTCCGTTTTCTAAAATCTCTCTTTCAAATTTCAACGTGATCTTATTATTAACAAATATAGACTGCAATTTCAGGGTTGGGGTGTTGCTGTTCTTGTGGGAGTACCACACAAAGTAGCCGTCTTCAAGACGCATCAGGTTAACTTTCTGAACAAGAGCACCCTCAAGGGTACATTCTTCGGAAACTACAAGCCTTGAACTGATATTCCCTCTGTCGTGGAGAAGTACATGAACAAGGTAGAAGGCTAACTTTGATTCATATTTCGTTTACATGTTTTGCCAAATTTTAATTCATTAGTTAATTAAGTGATCACTGAATAATTAAATTAATGTTGCAGGAATTGGAGCTAGAAAAATTCATCACCCACAAAGTCCCATTCTCAGAAATCAACAAGGCATTTGAGTGCATGCTTAAAGGGGAAGGTCTTCGTTGCATAATCCACATGGAGGAATGAAAACTGAAAAGGCTTCATCTTTGATGTTCTGTTTTCGATTTCGTCCAAGTTTGATCTGCTTATAATGCATATGAGAATCTGTTTGCTTCTGTTGGACAGTTTCTATGGACATTTATGTCAATAAATAAAGAACACAAGTCAATCTGTTGCTGTTTCTGCAAAATATATGTAGTTTTAAACCTCTTTGGCCTTGTATTTCATAAACTGACTGTTTAATTTGTAGTATTTTAAAAAATTATAACAGCCATATGGTCGACTAATAGGTAATTCTCTAACACCAATTAAAATCAAGAAAGGTACTTCCATGTGCAAGTAAAAAGCGAAAACAATTTGAGCCACGGTTATACTTGGCACTGCAAATTGCAATGTTACTAATTCACGTATTAACTGAGTGCATGTTAATATTAATATTTTATGAACCCTATAATATAATCATAGTCATGTGCAAGGTACATAACCTATGTCTAGGGTTATTTCAAACATTTCAACATCTTACCCCATTCTAATAAGTTGCATTCGACAAAAATAATTCTAGGATTTCTCAAAAAATGCAAAAAAAATGGGTTGATCTGATATATGAGGATCTAAGGATTTGCTATTCGGAAAAGGAGAACGACATGCACTCGCGGTGTTCGAAGTGAAGATGACTAAAAAATATAGTCATTGGGGACCCTCCAATCTAGGATAAAGTTAGGATGATATTTTTTATGTTGAAATGTCTGAAATAACCCAAACACAAGTCATTGCAAAGCACGTGATTTATTTTGGACGGAAAACTTAACGAAGTTATGATTAGATGACAAATTAATAACTTTGGAAAGTTGGAATGACAAATTGCTTAAAATGTTAGTTCATATAACAAATTGAAAAATGTGTAGAAGTTCATATAACATTTCAAAAGAATTCCCTAAAAAAATTGCTTTTATTAGCAGTATAAAATCTCATTGTGCACTCCTTATAAGTGTAATAATTTTCAATGTAAATATAAAAATTTGGAGTGCATAATAAGATTTTGGAGTGCCAATAACAACATCCTAAAAAACGATTTTTTTTTCAATTTATTTACATAATAATGCTATATATTCAAGTGATAATTTAAATTTAGATTTTTTGAAGTTTTTTTTTTTTTTTAAACTTGTTTGGTTGTTTAAGATTGAATTGCTTTTGATTATATAGTGAATGTTATGTTTGTAGCTTTTTATAATTAATATTTAATAACATTTGTAAAATTAAGAGTTTTTAGCCAAAATGGTCTCTGAAATTGACATAACTCCTCACTTTGGTCCTTGAGATTTGAAATCGATAGAGGTGGTATTGAGTTTGTCCACCATCAATCATTTTGGTCATTTTACGAAAAATCTCCATTAAATAAGGATAATGACAAAAATACCCTCAAATTTTTGTCAAATCATTTTGAACCATTGTTTATTAAAGTGAGGGTATTTTTATTATTTTGGTCTTTATTTAACATAATTTTTCACAGAATGGTCAAAATGATTTATGATGGACAAACTTAGGAACCACTTATATTTATTTCAAATCTCAAGGACCAAGGTGAGGAGTTATACGAATCTCATAACCATTTTAGTTAAAAAGCCTAAACTGAATTACAACTAGTTAGTCCTAAAGTGTGTTTTGACTTAAGTTGTTGTTTTTTACCATTAATAAATTGTCCTTTATTTTTTTGAAAAGCCATCTTATGGAAGGGCCGTTTATAAATTTTGCACAAAACCCACGAATTCTCAAAAAACGGCAAGAAAAGAAAATGAATTAATTGGAGAGTATAGTCTTATACCAAGTATTGGCCAACGGTACCTAGTAGCAAGCTGCAGCATATAGAACCAGGGACTAAACTCCTATCAATTGAAATCAAGGAATGGTTTTGGTTTCTCCTCGGTCTCCACTTGCACTTATCCATATGAAAATATCCACACGTTGACTTTACTTCTCACCACGCCAAAAAATTAAACACTTCAAACTGTTGTTACAAAGAGCTTTAAGAGTCTCAGTTTCATCAAGTTTTTATTGGATTCAAAGCAAGAATGTATGATACTGCTGGTCAGGTCATACGCTGCAGAGGTAAATTTCCTTTTTGTTTCTGAGATTGTTTATTAAGTAAATTTCTTAATTAATTTTTGGTTTATTAATTCTATTATTATTTCTGGTTTGTGTAGCTGCTGTAGCTTGGGAAGCAGGGAAGCCACTGGTGGTTGAAGAAGTTGAGGTGGCACCCCCACAAGCAAATGAAGTTCGCTTGAAGATCCTTTTTACCTCTTTGTGCCACACTGATGTCTACTTCTGGGAAGCCAAGGTATGAAATTGTTTTGAGAAATTCGTTAGAATAATTGTTTCTGAATTTCAATTATTGAACTGATCAAAATCAAATATCGACAATATAACAAAAACTGATCATTTCAGTAATTTGGATTTGAAAAATGGTCCATTGCTCTTTTTTGTCTAACTCTAAGCATATTTCATTTTATTGATTCAAGATTCACATATTTACAACACCTAATCTAAAATGGATTTTCTATATTGCAGGGACAAAACCCTTTATTTCCCAGAATTTATGGTCATGAGCAAGGAAGAAAATATTGGTAATATCGGAAATATCGGTAGTTCGAAAACACGGAAATATCGATGGAAATATCGGGATAATATCGATATCGATAAAAATTACATGGAAACCAAGGAAATTGTAAGAAAAACTTGGAAATTTTTATTGAAACTTTGCAGAATGTTTATTTAGTCAATTATCTATTAGTTTATCACAAAAAATTGGAAGGAAATGCATTGCATGATGGATTTAACATTATCAAGTTGATTATATAGCGAGCTGACAAACATTGTGAGTGTAGAAAATATGTAGTAATTAATTAAAGAAGTCTAAACACACCATAATCATTTATATATAATGAATTAGTACAATATTTTACACTTTATACATTGTACGGTAAGATACATGAGTGACTTAGTACCACATAGAGTTCCTATGAGGTTCAAATTTTTCACTATCGTCATCATCTCTATGTGTAGAGTAAGTGTATTGTGAAAAGTAGTCAGCAACCATGGCAATGGTTTTCAAGAACCAAAACCCAAAAGTCAATAGGAAACCGAATACTTCGGTATTTTTCGGGATTACCAAACAAATGGGATTTGGAAACCAATCCCATATCGAAAATTTCGGTATTTTTCAAGATGGGATTCCCAAACTTCAGGATGGTTTTGGTTTGGGATTTTTCGGTTTGGGATTTTCGGGAATTTTTTCCAACCCTACCATGTAAGTCACCAAATAAAAAATAGAAAAATTAAAAATCACATGCCATTGACTAAGTAATTAATTGACACAATTTAAAATATAATACCACAAAAAATTTGGAATATGTGCAAATTTGTTTCTTGTAAAAAGAATTCAAAACAAAACCATATATATAAATATTTTGGCATATTATCGCAACAACATAAGTGATATGGTGGTTAAGGCGTTAAGGAGTTAAATGGGAGGGGTTCGAATCCCTCTAGTTTCAAAACTGAGACTTTTTAAACAATTTTAAGTTATTTTTGGATTTCATATCGCAATATTTAGATAATATCGCGATATTTGACGAAAACTCATTGGATACCTAATAAAATATCGGTAACTAAAAAAAACGAAAATATCGGCGATATCATGAGGCAAGAGGGTATGTACATTTCTATCATCTTGTTACTAAATTAATAGAACATATAGGCAAACGATGTGCAACTGAATCATTGATCGTGAATTAAAATTTATGCGGATTGCTGGTTAATACTGAAAGAGAGTTAGGCACGCATAAGAGTATAAAGGACAAAAGAACTAATGATGCTCAACTCAGTTAAATCTGAGAGAGGTTGTGTGTTTGTATTTATAGGAATGAATTACATCAGAGAGTTACAAGTCAAACTGATTACAACCAACTAGTCTATATAAATCCCGAAATATAGGAGATAATACAAGAGTATATTCCCAACTCTTAGCAGCAGCATCTGTAGTGGAAGAGTCATAGCAAAGAACCAACTCTGTAGTGGAAGAGTCATAGCAAACAACCAACTTATGGTTTATCAAATACTTTTAGGATTGTGGAGAGTGTTGGTGAGGGCGTGACGGATCTGAAAGCTGGCGACCATGTCCTGCCGGTATTCATGGGGGAATGCAAGGACTGCGCTCACTGCAAATCAGAAGAGAGCAACATGTGTGACCTCCTCAGGATAAACACTGACAGGGGAGTGATGCTCGGTGATGGCAAATCAAGATTTTCAATCAAAGGGAAGCCTATCTTCCACTTTGTTGGGACATCCACCTTCAGTGAGTACACTGTTGTTCATGTTGGCTGCGTTGCCAAGATCAATCCCTCGGTGCCTCTAGACAAAGTCTGTCTCCTCAGTTGTGGAATCTCCACAGGTAAATTGTTTATTAGCATAGAGCCAAATTGTTCAAACAGATACGAGTTTTGTAACTGACATCATTTTCTTATGTATTTTTTGAATGTGTGTTGTTTAGGTCTCGGAGCTACTCTAAATGTTGCAAAACCGAAAAGGGGATCAACCGTGGCTGTTTTCGGATTGGGAGCTGTAGGCCTTGCAGTGAGTCTCTTAGTCACTTTCACATGCTTGCTCACTTGTATATGCATGATGAAACATGCTTGTCTAAGTCGATCCTCCTGTTTTTAGGCTGCCGAAGGAGCCAGGTTGTCTGGTGCTTCAAGAATTATCGGTGTTGATTTGAATTCGAGCAAATTTGAAGAAGGTAAAATACACAATTCTATAATCTCTCATTTATCTTTTGTTTTGCGTTGACAAATATTCTCGAGACCTCTCTCAATTTGAACTTGGTTGTTTGCAGCGAAAAAGTTTGGTGTGACGGAATTCGTGAACCCAAAAAAGCACAAAAAACCAGTTCAAGAGGTGATTGCTGATCTGACGAAAGGAGGAGTGGACAGAAGCATTGAATGTACAGGAAGTGTTGAAGCCATGATATCTGCATTTGAATGTGTCCATGATGTAATACTATAGCGTCTTCACTGCCTCCATTTTCTAAATTCTCTCTTTTCAAATTTCAACGTTATCTTATTATTAGGGTTAATCTCAGTTTACTACTTGAAGTTTCATGGTTTTCAACATTTAGTACATGAAGTTTTTTTCATCCCAGAGTGGTACCTAAAGTCATAATCTTGGGACACTTTCATACATTCGTTAAGGTTGCTGTTAAATCAATTGTTAACTGATGACATAGCGCTTACGTGGACAATGACTGGACGCCACGTGAATATTAAAAAAATTAAAAATTAAAAATTAATAAATAATAATAATAATAATTAAAAAATATTAAAAAAAAAGAATCCCTAAAACCAAGGTATTAAATATCGATATTATCGACGAAATATCGCCGATAATATCGTTATTTTTACATAGCGATATTTTCAACGTTTACACTTAATTATCGTAATAATATCGCGATAATATCGCGATATTAGCGATATTATCGCGATATTAGTCATAATATCGCCGAGGATCCTCCGTCGTCATCGCAACAGCAGCCGAAGAAGAAATGGGGGGGGGAGAACCAAAGAAGAAACAAGGAGAGACTGAGGGAGAAGGTGAGTTGCAGAGAAGAGATAGGGGGGAGAACCGAAGAAGAAACAAGGAGAGACTGAGGGAAAAGGATGGAGAAGGATCGATCGAGAGACTGAGGGTGGAGAGACTGAGGGAGAAGGATAGGCTCTGGGAAGGTGAGTTGCAGAGAAGAGATGGGGGGAGAACTGAAGAAGAAACAAGGAGAGACTGAGGGAGAAGGATAGACTGAGGGTGGAGAGACTGAGGGAGAAGGATAGACTGAGGGTCTGCGTGTGTGTGTGTGTGTTGCGTGTGTGAGAAAAAAGGTGTGTGTGTGTGTGTGAAAAAGACATTGACAAGACAAAAAGGTGGAGTGGTTTCATACTACCAAAGTTCAAAACCGTGTGGAGTGGTTTCATACTGCCAGTTTTACTATTTCTGAATCAAAATCTTCTACTTCCAAAAAAAATTGTTATTTATTATTTTATTATCAAATTGGATTATTATTTATTAATATTAGGTAATACTCATAACCAACCATTTCCCTACCCTTCATATCTCATTCCTGTTGGGATGGAATCGAGCGACTCATGGAAACAATCCGAGACTCAATCTTCAAATGATTTTGCTTATGGACAACGTCAACCAATCTCGGATCCATATGGGTGGCATGTTAATAATTACATGCAAAACTATTTTGGGGATTTATCATTTGATAACTACTCTTCACAATACACTCACTCTACACATAGAGATGATGAAGATAGTGAAAAATTTGAACCTCATAGGAACTCTATGTGGTACTAAGTCACTCATGTATCTTACCATGCAATGTATAAAGTGTCAAATATTGTACTAATTCATTATATATAAATGATTATGGTGTGTTTAGACTTCTTTCATTAATTACTACATATTTTCTACACTCACAATGTTTGTCAGCTCGCTATATAATCAACTTGATAATGTTAAATCCATCATGCAATGCATTTCCTTCCAATTTTTTGTGATAAACTAATAGATAATTGACTAAATAAACATCCTGCAAAGTTTCAATAAAAATTTCCAAGTTTTTCTTACAATTTCCGTGGTTTCTATGTAATTTTTATCGATATCGATATTATCCCGATATTTCCATCGATATTTCCGTGTTTTTGGACTACCGATATTTCCGATATTACCGATATTTAATACCTTGCCTAAAACATACCCTCCAATCCAATCCCATCATTTCAATCCCCAGCCACACTTACTGCAATCAACCCTCATCGCCAGCCACCCTCCAATCTAACCCTCATCACCTTCTTCTTCAATCATCGTCACTCTCCCTGCGACCGCAACTGCAACTATATTGCTCTCGACGTAAAACCACTGATCGTGATCGTACTTTGACAGCATCCTCACCAGATTCTTCACGAAGAACACCATGTTGTCATCGCCGAACACGAACCACCTCACATCCAGCTCGCCGCGATCAACGACCTCCTTAACCATGCATGCCACGCGGATCGTGGAACGAAGCCCTCCCTTGAAAGTGTACATAAAGCAAGAGGTATCATCGAAGACGACAATCGGAGTGACGAACTTCTCGTTGGAGGGGTCGATTGGTGATCGGATCATATTTATATATATTTTTACTTCGAATTCACTCGTCTTTTCTTAGTTAGTTCCTTATATTTTTGAGCTATTTACGTTATTTTTGTGTTTATAGGATCTGTTATGCAAAGAAAATAAAAATAGCACAAATGAGTTTTAAATAATAAATAGATAGAATATTGGTTTTGGATTTGTTACTTGAGTCTGCTAATTATATTTGAATTGTTATAATAATGGCTTCAGTTACTATGGTTGCATTTATGTTGGTATATTGTTTCACATTTATATTTGAGTAGGTGTGTAAATGTGTGCATGTATTTGAAGTAGATGAAAATCATGGTATTGTTTGTGGCTTTTGTGTAGATAAAATCCCTTATATTGAATCTGGCGAGTATGTGGCCTATAATAACGAAAAGGGAGCCGCCCTAGGCAGCGTGTCAGTGAGGGAGAGAAGCAGGAGTGGGGAGACAGTGGGAAGGTAGTGGAACAAAAAGAATGGCAGAAAATAAGAGGAAGTGGACAGAGTTAGGTGGGATAGAAGAAGAATAATGAGACGGGAGTGAGAGACCAGGAGGTCAGAGAGATGAGGGAAAGAAATAAAATAAAAGAAGAGTGGAAGACTGAGTGGAGAGTGGAGTGCACACTGACAGATAAAAAGAATAAAAGAGGACTGACGCGGGGGGATAAGAAAAAAAGGCGGAAAGGAAATTGGGGGGGGGGGGGAAGAGCTGCCTTTGGCAGCGTGGAGGTCAGGAAGAAGGTCAGGTAGGGAGAGAGAGAAGAGACTGACACGGACGCGGAAAGGAAAGCAGGGTAGGACAGGGAGATAGACACGGGGAGGTCAGCGAGAAGAAAAAGACGAAGGCTACCCTTGGCAGCGCAGAAATATAGGAGAAAGGAGCCTCGGTGCAGGTGCCTTGCGGTGCATGTAGCTGGCGGTGCAAAGACAAGAAACAAAGGCTGCTCTTGCAGCAGAGAGGACACGAGGTTGCTGCTTCCTCTCGGCATCTGGCAGCGTGAGCACTTGGAAAGGTTTGTGCAATGTGAAGGACTGAGAGAAACAAGAGCTGCCCCGTGGCAGCTGGTGGGAGCAAAACAGAAGCTCCAAAGCAAGGGAATGTTTTGGGTTGTCGTATGCAATCATCCAACCCAATAACTTGTGGAAAAACTGAGGGTTAATTAGTGCAATTCACGGTTAATTTGGGGCGTTGAGATTTACAATTTATTGAAAGAACAACTGAAAATCAATTTAGGTTGCATATGTGTCATGTGTGGAGAAGAACCCTCTAGCTAATCCGTCACTTATCATTTCACCTTAATTTCATGTTTTTGTCAATTCTGTAATTTATTTAAGTTTAATTTACTTTTCATCAAAACCAAACCCCCCATTATTAAATTATATTATTTAGTTAGTTTTCATTGTTGTTAGTCTTTTAATTCAATTTTCGTCCATTTCAATTCCTAGTGTTTAATTTGATTGTTTTCATTATTTTGAGTCATTCTAAGTGTGTTTCGAGTTATTAGAGTTTTTAGCCTAGTTTTGTGTCCTTGAGTCTTGTTTAATATTTTTAAATTAATTTAGAATAGATTAGCAATCCCTCCTAATCCCCGGCCTAGAACGATACCCTACTTACATCTATACTACAATTGTCAAAAGAGGGTTTAATTTGTGTGTCAAGTAATTTTCACACCAAATGTTTTGCGCCGTTGCCGGGGATTAGCAACTTTGCTAATCCCTTTATTTTTGTTTTTGTTTATGTTTATATTGGTGTTTGTGTATTTTACTTTTGATATTTGATTTATTTTTCTTTCTTTGATTTTAGGTACAAATGGAGCAAGACATGGCAATTGCGACCATTCAAGCTCAATTGGCACAGCTCACTGCTCAATTGACTCATAATGCCGAACGGACCACAATGCCAAGTGTCCCTACACTTGATGTGCCCTATGGGCAAGGATATCAAAGTCCTCAATTTTCTGCCAATGAAGATGCTTGGGGTTATCAAGGCTATGATCAACCAAGCAGCAACATGTTTTCCAACGCTTACAATTCGGCTTGGAGAGATCATTCAAATTATATGTGGGGGGAACCTCAACAATTCCAACAAGAGGGATATTGGCAGCAAGAGGAGGATTTCTATTCAAAACCTATGCAATATGCTCAATCAAACTCAGGTTCGTCAATAAATTATAATCAAATTCTTAATGAATTAAATTCTTTGGTGCAGGGCTCACAAAATCAAGACAAGAAGTTGGATAAATTGAAGAGTCAAATGGGAGAGATTATGGAATTCATGGTACAAATTCAAGAGCAAAGTGAACTCTCCAGCCCAACTGTTGAAAATTTGAAGGAAGATTTTGAAATCCACGATGCTATCACTTTGGAAGGTGACATGAAGGATGAAGCAGTCCTAGAACTATCCAAACACAGCCTGAACATGGATGAATTGCTGCTGCAAGCAGAAGAGGAGGAGGACGACCTGGGCAGTTTAGAAGAATTCTTGCTGCAAGCTCCTCAAATCCCTATGTCATCCAACTCAGGTGAGGAAGTTTTAAATCCACTTCATTCTAACATTATTCCACCAAATGTCATTTTTCCTTGTAGGTTTTTTATTCCAAATATCAAAGAGAGTGAAAAAGACATTGTGGAAGCTCTTCCAAAGGTGCAAAGTGATATCCCAATTCTTGGTGCACCAAAACAAGTTCCCGATGGTATTGAAACGTTCAAAGAACCTTGCACACCAAGAAAAGGGATTCAAGAGAATGAAGTGGTTGAAGCATATCAAGAATACATCCAAGAGGCTGTGCATGAGACAATCAAGCCCAAAGCAGTTGAGTTTGATGACACGGGA